GATATCAAAAAAGTACTCCAGAGTGTTGTTCAGCATGGGGGTGAGTAGAAAATGAAGGCTAATCATGTTTTGGGTGTACTATTCCTTTAAGAAGAGGAAGTTATCATATCTGATCATTTTTTTCTCATGAATATAAGAATTCTATCACAGCATCTTACCTTTTAGCAAAAGAGGCTCGACCTCAGTTCGGCTTTTGTTCCAGGAGCAGGTTTGAGCTCCCTCCATTTTTTGACAACTGCTTGTCTCAGCATCAAAGTGAAATACAGATGAAAGCAGACAATAACCCAAAAATAAAAAAGCCGCAGCATAAGGAAAAATACAGTTAAAAGTTGTTAATAACAGCAAAGTAAAAAAAAAATCAAGAAGGGTGCACAAAAAAAGAGTCACTTTAACAACGGTACAAAATATGTTTGTATATATATGCATGTAAACCTCCAAGCAAAACTTTATTAGAAAGTTAAAGACGGCAAAGCAGCAGGGATTTAAACACTTACTGGGTTTGTGAGAAAAAATGAGGGTTATAAAGTCTAACAGCTGCAGGGAGGAAGGATCTGCGAGAACAATCATTTTTGCTTTTACGATGCAGCAGTTTGTCAGTGAAACAGCTCTGCAACAGCCTCATGCATGGACTGGGACACATTGTGTTATTTTTGTCAGGGTTCATCTCTCTCCCACCACCTGCACTGTGTCCAGGGCGCATCGTCGGACAGAGCTGGCCTCTTGATGAGCTTATCTGAGCGCGAGCAGGAGATAAGCTGCCGCTCTAAAGAACCACGCCACGGAGGATGGCTGATGGCTCCACAGAGAATGAATGAATGACTGAACTAAGACTGAGCACTGATACTGATTAATAAAGGCTCTTTATTAAACGATATGCGTACTTATGCAACCTGGCTGCCATTAATTTTTTTTTTACGCACATTTAAAAATACTTACCCAAAATGCTGAACATTGAGATACATCAGTTCTAAAGTTAAGAAGACATACAACGATAAAGCTACTCATGCAAACGACCCAAAAACATGAACACCAGGATAAAAAAGAGGAGCTTTAAATAATGATTTGAATGAATGAGTGGAGAATCCTGATGAACATGGAGAGGAAACCTGTTCCCTAAGCGCAAAGTACCCCAGAGCTTCAGTGTTGTCCTCAGAAAGTCACCTGACCGGCTGCTGAGCTGAGCTGTAGCGCGTGAAACAGAGAACAGGTGAACAGAACAGAAAATTCTTATTAATGCCACTTCCTGCAGCAGATTCAACTGTTTTGGTGGTCATTTAGGTGATCATATCAAGTTTAACATGAAAACATGTAAGGAATTACTTTAAAGGAATAGTACACCCAAAACATGATTAGCCTTCATTTTCTACTCACCCCCATGCTGAACAACACTCTGGAGTACTTTTTTGATATCTCAAATGCATCTGGAGATCTGGGAGGCTTCTTGCTGTCTGCTGACATTCAAATAATGGAGGTCTATGGCGCCCGAGGCAGAAAGGTCCATAAAAGTCCACAAAAAACGTGTCAATATTCCTCCATACTGCTCGTCCAATGTATTCCAAGTGTCCTGAGTGGGTAGCATCCAGAATTTACTCGAAACAGAATCATTTAGAATGTTTTTTAGAGCATAAACAGTAGTGTATAGGATTTCCTGAAAGCGCGTTCACGAGTCTACGGAAACCGCGGCAGACCAAACCAGATGAAAGTGCGCATTCAGCTCGGCAAAGAACTCATGCTCTTCCTCAACACTGAAGTCCTCAGACATTTTTCTTTCGTTGTTTCTTTCTTTGCACAGGTAAACAGCACATTTCTTCTTCTACGCTTGCATTATCGGCAGAGCAGACGCTGAATGCGCACTTTCATCTGGTTTGGTCTGCCGGCTTCCGTAGCGTCATGAACGCGCAGGTGCGCGCTTTCAGGAAATCCTATACACTACTGTTTATGCTCTAAAAACATTCTAAATGACTTCGTTTCGAGTAAATTCTGGATGCTACCCACTCAGGATACTTGGAATACATTGGACGAGCAGTATGGAGGAATATTGACACGTTTTTTGTGGACTTTTATGGACCTTTCTGCCTCGGGCGCCATAGACCTCCATTATTTGAATGTCAGCAGACAGCAAGAAGCCTCCCAGATCTCCAGATGCATTTGAGATATCAAAAAAGTACTCCAGAGTGTTGTTCAGCATGGGGGTGAGTAGAAAATGAAGGCTAATCATGTTTTGGGTGTACTATTCCTTTAATCCCTGGACACCTGCATCAATATATATGTATATTTCAAATAAAAAAATCCTAGAAGGAAAAATTCAGTTTCTGTACAGCCCATCCAAGAACACAGAAACACAGAAAAGACAAAACACAGACATTATACTCGGTGTCCGAGGCCTTGCTGCTGTTCAATCGGAAAAACTCACACGGAGAGAAAAGACAATTAGAAGAAATTTATTGATACAATTACTTAGTCTTTGGCGCTCAGACCTCGGCAGAAAACATAGCACTGAATTTTGATAGATATGAATGAACAGGCGTAAAGAACAGGTCAGTTCCCCCCCCAGGCCTGAAACTGGTGGTGGAGTGGAGATAGATGAAGTTGGTCAGTCTGCTGGTTAGAGAGACGGTCTGCTGAGCTTTATGGAGCGATCCAGTGGACTGCATGAGCTGATTCTAGAGCTTCACTCAGGGACCTGGAAGATGGAAGTCCAGCTTGGATAACACAGGTTGAAAGAACCTGTCCATGATGAGCAAGCATGAAGGGACAGTGGGGAGGAAAAACTCCCCATTGGGAAGAAGCCTCTGGCAGAACCAGGCAGAACATGGCTGTCTTCTGCCTGACCTGTTGAAGTGAGAGAGGGAATGCAGGAAGAGTCCAGGAGGAATGAAACTGAAGGAAGTCCCACAGCGCATTTACCGCCTGCGCACCAGGAGCAAACAAGTTGTGGATCGGAGGCCTTTTAAGGTGAACTTTGGATGCTGATTGGCTTTCGTGGAGTTGTGGTTCAAAGCTGATTGGCTGTGTCGAGGGCGGATGAAGGCAGCCTAGGCTCCATTTATAGAAAAATAAAAGGATCACAATGGGGAAGAGGAGTGAAAGAAAAGACATATTTGAAATTTATCCATAAAGGATACAGTCTGAGATTGCAAAAACTGTTTTTGTATATATTAAAAAAGGTTATTTCCCTTTAACTCAACGCCAAACTGTTTTGTTTTTATCATTCTATTTAAAGACAAACACAATTGTGTGACATTTATAACGGCTAATGGTAATGGAAGTAAGAGCACATGCTATCTTGGGTGTATACGTAATACAAAGCGTTTGTTGCAAAATTGCAAAAAGGGCGTCAAGAGGTTAAGCTTCTGTCGTGTGGTAGAACTGGTATAGAAGAAGGTCATACCTGAGATTTTCTCACCTCTCTTCTCTGTTGTCTTTCAGACTGTTGGCTGCAGAGTTTGGAGCCGTGAACTGTCTCAGTCTGTCTGAGAGAGGCTCACAGGTTGCCATGAAGACCTGAGGCGGGGCGGCCCTGCGTGCCCCTCTGCACACCCAAGAGCTGCAGACGCCGGTGTCGTGTGTGTGTGTGTATCTGTGCGAACACACTGTGCTGCGTTTAGAGCCCTGCGGAAAGCCGACCAGCATGCTGCAACCGTCCCTGTGCTTCCTGGGGGGGCTTTTGGGTAAGAGACACGAGCCTCTTTTTTGCTCTTCCTTGAGCCCCATCTCCATCTGAGCGCAATCTGCTGACAGCAGGAAACCTTTCTGAAGCATGTCAATAATATGTGAGGATTGTGGGACGGATCGTCAAGCTGCAGGAGAATGCGTGTGTTCAGTTTACCGCCTGGAGTTCAAAAATGTCTGTTTTGAAACCTCTGCATCTGGTTTTAGGTACTTTTTTGGGAAACAGCAGGATATTTTAAAGATGCTGCAAGACAAAAACAGTTCACACCATCATGGATGTTTAACTAGATCAGCTTTTCTCCAAGGTTTGCATGGGTGGTCTGCATTGTGTCAAAACTTTTCAGTTCCATTGACGGACATGTTTACAAACTGCAAAGCAGGATAATGTCCATGTGTTGCTGCCAAAATGAGGTTTATGGTGGACAGCCATGTTTTCTCCTTACTTCATGCATGCTTATATCTTCAGAAAAAAAAACCAGAATTGTCCAGAACCGGATGTAGAACTTTGGTCACCAGCTGCTTTGTGAGTGAATACAGTTTGTTTTGGCTGCTCCTGTTCAGCTGTAAATGGCTGACCCAGGTGGATCTACTACGGCTGGATTTCAGAGGTCCTTTTATTTCTGTTTTATTTGAAGGCGACCTGCCAGACAAATTAAACCCTTTTTTTATTGCATATTTTCAACATGTTTATGAAAACACAATAAAGATCTGCTTTTGATCTTGTTGGGATGCTGAATGTTGGCAAAAGAGAAATGCAGTGGTCTAAACAAACAGCACTGATAAAACAATATGTACTGGATTGCAAATAAAGCAAAGCATATCAAATCAGAGTGTCTTTAAGTTGGAATAAATATAGATTAATATTTTGACCCAACACATCAGATATGGGACCAAAATGAAATATTTTTTACAGTTTTCGTTTGGGATCAGGTTGCAACCTTCAGGTAATGCTTATAAATAAAAAACTTTTCCATTGGTGATAAAATAATATTTGTCTGTTGAATTTTAATTAGAGAAGGGCGTGTTTGGGTGCTACAATTAGAGCAGTGCAGCACTTTCAAACGCATAATATCATATGAAATACATATTAATATATTCAACTAATTCATTCGTAGTTTATAGTGACTTGAAAAATTGAAAAATTGACCAAACCACCTTAGTTGTTCAAGAGATATGATGTAAACTGACACTGGATAGACTTTTTTATAAGGGCATTTTTACAGCCCCTTGGCTACATCTGGCCCTTTGCATCACTCACAGTCTGAAATCAAACACACATCAAATGTGTCTGCACATAAATCAGTTCTGTAAAAGACTGCTGCGGTCTTCCTGTTTGCTAACTACATTAGCACTTAAAAGGGTGCTCTGCTGCAAAGTGTTGAACATTAGATTGTTTTTTCTTTACAAAAGGAATTTACAGAATGCAGCCTACTGATCTTTCTGGGGGGTGTCCCACAAAGCTCTGCTCTCGGACCTCTCCTTTTTCATTTTGTCGGCTGCCAGTTGGTGTCATTTTCCCAAAAGAAATGTACTGTATCCTTTTATTCTTACGGTAATAATGCGTATAAGGTGGATTTTTGCACTTTGGCACATTGGTCAGTGCTCTGACCAGCTTCTCGATGACTGTCTTATTGGTCCTATTTATAGGTAAATCCACTGGATTTTCTACATTTCAATTATTCTTGTTACATTTTTTTTCCCTAAATCAATCTTTTTAAGGGTAAGGTGGATGTATGGATGTCCTAATGTCTCCAGCAGGGCCCCTAAATTGATCTTTCCTCTCTGGCCTCACATGGTAAAACTCAAATTTCACACTTTGTAATGAAGACAGATCCTTCCCCAAATCTTGACTGTTAAAAAAAGGTGGTTGTAAAATTCCACTTAAATGATTACCGGTAAGCTTGTTCTGTCTAAAGACAAAGAAACATATTTTTATTCCAATGCTTTTTATTTGAGGACAGGTTAAACAATTTTAGCATGTCAACAACTGGTGCTAATTGCACTTTAAAATTCTGATACTGCATTAATTCTGTGAGATCACACCAACCATTTGGTTTTCAAGCATGCTTTGTCCTCTCATGAGCAAACACTTGAGCATAGGATACAAAACTAATCAGCTTCCACTCATTACCAAAACTGTGGGCAATATATACAAACATTTCTACAAAATTAATCCACTACAGGTGGAATAATATTGCAACCGGAGTAGTTGGTTTAGTCCTTTTTTAAGTGATGCTTTTATATATTTAAGCACTTACACAAAAATATTTGTCTTTCAGTTTAATTTCTGTTGCGGATCTCATGACCCCAACAGGTTGATCACCAACCCCAAGTGGGGTCACGACCCCAGCTTTGGGAATCAATGGGCCTCATGCAACTACATCTTCATATACTTATGGTAAATTTCTCTTAGTTTTTCTCCTATTGTGGGCTTTTACATGACAGTCAGATTCAACAAACAATAACTGCAATAATTATTGGAAATTGTCCTCATAAAAGTGATGTAGGCCATAAGTGAGTGTGCGCTCCAGATAAATGTAAATCTGAATAATTACCACCCTGATTTTTCCATAGAAGGCTACAAATTCCCACGCCTCTGACAATGACACAGTCTTTCCTCCACCAGACCCAAACAACCACATTCAGTGTGATAACAAAGCCAAGGAGCTGCCATGAAGGGAAATAAATGAAAGTCTCACCGTTAGGAGCTTTGCTGAGCTTTCATCCATATTCTGTTCCAGATGTTATTTCTATAGTAGCTTGACCTCACATAGAGTCACTGACTGTTTTCTCTTTGGACAAACTGACAGCAAATGAAACCAGAGTCCCTGAAAACCGACATGCCAGCTGCAGGTGTAGTGACCCATAGTTCTTTCATCAGCCAATAAAAATGTCATTAATAATTGCAGAGCTGCATAATATATACTGATGCAGCCTATTAAAATGAACATTTGCTTTTAAGAAACAACAAATGTCATTTATTGATAAATTGGGATTGGATAACAGCTGACTGATTGAACAAGACTCCTAAGTCCGTCTTGAGTAATCGGAAAATTTGTACGTATGAGTGATTTTCTCCTAAATCACTTGTACATACTATTTAAGAAGGAATATGTGCGTATGAATGATTCTGGCATGGGGCCCAATGCTCTAAAGGTTTCAGATTAAAGTTATAAAATGCATTAAACAGTATAATCCTTCTGAAGTTAGACAGTTTTATGTATTGGTCTTTTGTAAAGCTTGACTTTAAATGTGGTAATGTTATAATATGTTGGTAAAAAGAAACAAGAGGAGCTCTAAACAGAATAAAAGGCAGGATGATGGAAAACATAACCCGAATATTTTCTCTCTCATATGGAGGAACCCAGATTTAGGATATTTCTTCTCTTGTTATAAAATATCTGACTCATTTTATAGCTTTTAATTTCTGGGTAAAAAACAAACAAGCAGCTTTTACGGGGAAAAACATGTGAGAACCTCCTAGAAACATGAGTTTAGACTGGTCAGTGGTCAAAGTTATAAATTATGACTTATTCGTACAATCTATTATGTTTTTTCTTTAGTCCTATTTTTTTAATCTGGGTCGCTACTAGATACTATTTGCTATATTGTGGCAAAAATGTAACAATGCAAACTTATTTGGACATAAAGGCAAAGATTATTATTATTGTTAACATTATGACACTTAACTTTAATTTTCCTAACTGAGGCAAAACCATTCAGTATAGAAGAGTTTCTGAAGGATTGAAACTGGCAGAAATAAAATATAAACCACTGCAAAGTAGCTTGTAGGTATCTAAAATACTTAATAATGCAGATTTAATAAAATAAATAAAATATGGTTTAACTATACAATGCATATATTTACCACCTCACAGATGGGAAGAGAGTTGCAGTTAGCATATAGATCCACAGATGGGAGCTATAAGTTAGCAGTTTTACACACTAATTTATTGTCCAGTGATAATTCACTCCAAGTAAATAGACCAGCAATCTTCGAAGCTCATAAAAAAAACTTCAAATCAAATTTACATGCTTGCATTTTGTGCAAAGGCAAATCAAAATAAAATCTTAATTTTGATTTTTTGCAAACTGATTCAGCCCTTATATAAAAACATTAACGTATTTCTCATGTTTTAAATTAATTGGTTCATTTCGATTGTGTTGTTTTACGTACTGGGCAAGGTATAGATTTCCACTTTAATACCACAACGCTGCCAGTTTTGGTTTTATAGATTTAAGCCCTTTAATAGAAATATATGAATTCTAAGTCACTTTACTGTCAGCTGAAACAGTATAGTAGAAAACACCAACAGTAAGAGTATTAACCCTTTATAGGGCAAGGTGGTGTTTTTGATCACTTGCATAGCCCTTACAAAGGGAGTCCCCTGTCACTTAGTGAGGTCTAGAAGCACAAGATCTATATCCATAATTCAGCTATGATATTGCGACATGGCTGCACATCTTATTTTGGCATTTGATCAATTAGATGACCCCTTGAATGATTTATTACCTATTGTAAATTAAGTTGAAAAAAAAAGTTAAGTCAAGAAAAAAAGGTAAAGTTAAAAAGTTAATAAGCCTAGTTAACTATTATATTTAGGTTTATAAACTAAGAAATGTAAGTGCCAGTATCAGCATTGATGCCTCTTAGGTTATGTTGTACAAAAAAAATGTGTTTCTTTTACTCTTAGAGTGTTTTTCATGATTTTCTTTTCAAGAGTTTTTGTTATTTTTCTTAATATATTTGGAAAAGTTGGCATTTTTATTACATTGACATTAATTTTTCCCATCAAAATGTTTTGAATGTTCCAAAGGCAATAAGGACTTGTCCTGGATTCCAATAACACTATTGGCTTGAAATAGTGAATCAATTTTTATATTCTTTATTTTAATTTTAGGGGCCCCTTTATCTAAGGCCTCTCATCCATAAACCAGATGCTTCCTAGTCGCTCCCAAGAGGCTGCGTAAACTGGGAGCTGATAGAGCTTAAGTGGAG